TAAATATATATTAAATACCTACTATGTGCTAGTGATCTTTCTGGGTACCATAGCAATGAGCAAGCCTAACTAGGTCCTACTTATTACTGGATTTATCGTCTAGTTAGGGAAATGGATATTAAGCAAACAAATAAAATGTTGGACAATGATGTGTTTAGAAGAAAGAAAAGTAGCAGGATAATTTGATATAGAATAACTACACTCGGTAGTGAGGCAGTACTTTAGATTTAGTAGATAGGGAAGAGATGGTGATATTTGGCATCCAGACATTAAGATGTGACAATCCAAAGAACTTCCCCTTTGAACTTTCTAAAGTTCTGTCTCTGAACCTGCCACAAATCTTCATGGGAAGCACATCTCTTGGGTGAATTCTTGTTGATGGAGTTTGAGATATTTTCCCCTCTTTATCCTCCTCTCCTAGCATGCTCATTTAAAATGTGCAAATAGATCTGTTTTCCCTTGATTTAGTCCCCAAAATATCTGCCATTCTCAAAGCAGGTATATACTGCTTGACTTAGCTGGACTTTGAAAGGCAAACTCTGTAACAGACTCTCAACCTGGAATTGTACAAGGATGGTTTCACTTATCTCTTTCATGTTTTGTGTGCAGTTTTTAGTTTTTTATATATCTTCTGTGTTCTGTGGAACTTTTGAGATGGAGATTTCATGCACTTCACTTTTATAGGTAGGCCTTTTACTGTCAACAAACAACTTAATGAATGCATTCTTTGGTCTTTTTAAGAAATGCTTAGGAAACTATATACATTCCTGTGTTACATGCTATCAGGATCACTGAACTGGAATTGGAAGCATGGTAGTCATCGTACATAGCAGTGTCTGTGTCTACTTCCCCTAAGTTTGGTTCTACATGAAATCAAAGATCCTCCACATTTGTAGGCAAAACTTTTCATTCTTCTAATATATACATAGGTTGGAAACTAGGTGGACACAGGGATTAAAGGGACCTGCCAGTCTCTGTTTTTGACCACATGTGTGAGTCCTTGCCTTACTACAAGTATCCTGGCTTTGTGTGTCTTCCCTTGTCATCTTTGCACTGGATGTCTCATGGTACTCCTTAGAGCAGAACATCAGGACTTCATCAGACTGATCTGCTCAACTTACAGAAAATTGTTATAATGATCTCAAGATGATGAAAAGACAGTCATTTCTGATTTTAAAAACTTTATAAAACAGGAATATGCGGATACTTTCTTAATGTTATTAAAAAGAAATTCCAATCAAAATGTATCATGTTCAACAATAGAATCAGACATCATGCCACTATCATCACAATTGCTTGACACTTGAGATTCTGAAAATACAAACCAATATCATTTGAAAAGTGAAAACATGAGGTACTGATATTGATAAGGAGGCTGACTTATTTTTTGAAAATATGGTTATGTGGTGGATATGCAAGGAAATTACTAGAAATAAATTTCAGCATGATGCTTTCTTTTGTTCAAACAATACCCTATAAAGAATCCATTTATCTTAGCAATAAAAGATATTATATATCTAGGCATTTATACTAGCAAGTAAGATATAAAATAGTTTGGGCCAAGCCCGAACACTTAATGTAGTACCTATTCGAATACAAATAATTAAATGTGACCTCAATACAAACAATACTAATATGATATAATGGTTCTAAAGTTTTACCTAGTAAATTAAGCATGGAAGAACAGCTAGGAAAATTCCAAGGTTAAAAATATTGATAGAGTGGGTTGGGGAATTAGCTCTTCTTCCCAAATATTAAAATGTGTCATGAAAGCCTCAGTTAAAATAGTTAAGTACTGACACTGAAATAGGTCAGTGAAACTGAATGGAGATTTCAGTTAAAAACCCAAATACATAAGTACGTTTGGTATGTGTTGTTTGTTTTTCAATTCAATGGTGGAAAAGTTGGATTACTGGCTAGTAATTTGGATAAATATAAAGCCAATCTCTGCCTTTTACACAAGAATAAAATTGTGAATGGACCTAATATGCAAATATGTAAAATGCAACTAGAAAAATGAAGAAAACATCATTGAATTTTAAAAGTTATCTAGGTATAGGAAAGGCCTTTCTAAATGTGATGCAAGTTTCAAAAACCAAAAAAAAAAAAAAAAAAAAAAAAAAGAGGTTGATGTATTTGGCTATAAAAATTAAAATGCTAAAGGTTCATTAAACAGAAAAAACATGTGGGGACCGGAGGTAAGTGTGTGGGTATTTACTACATATTTGATAAAGGGCAAATGTTCTTAAATATCCACAGTTCTCTCATAAATTAATAGAAGATAAACCATCCAAAAGAAAAGTGTGTAAAGTATACAAACAATTCATAAACACGTACAAGTGGCCAGGAAACGTACAAGGATGTTCAGTCTTCCTTACTAATGAAGAACTTCAAATTAAAGTAAGACACTATTTTATACCAGTCAGCCTGGCAAAGATTTAAAGTTTACTTCTCAGTAATGGCAAGGGTGTAGGAAAATCTCTCATATATTGTTTGTGTAAGTGTGAATTGATGTAACATGCTTGAAAAGAAATTTAGATATATCTGTCAAAATTTAAAATATTTATAACTTTTAATCTAGCAGGTTCACTTGAAGGAATTTATCACAGGAGTTACACAAAGACATATGTAAAGAATGTTGTATCATTGTGCATAACAGCAAAAATTTTAAAAGGGCAGGACAAATGTTGTATCAGGTGAGTGGTGTGTTAAATCGTAATACACCTATACAGTGGAATACCATAAGCATTTAAATAAAATAAGATAGATATTTATGTTTTGGTGTAGAAAGATGTGCAGGATATGATAGGTAAAAAGATTAGCTTGCATACAATATGGATGTTTTATTTAAGTAAAAAATATTTTAAGATTGGAAATGTAAAGTTTATATCTGCATAGTACATGTATTTGAAAGATACACTGACAACAATAGCTATCTTTGGGTCTTCGAATTGGGTGGTTGAAAGGAAAAGAGTAGGGGAATTTTTGCTTTTTACTTTGCATTTTTTGTACTACTTGAGTTTTTGCTTTTTTAAAAAACAGGAACATGTGTTACTTTTATATGTTAAAAACAAACAGCAACCAAAAACCCCAAAACAGTATTCAAGTTTAGATTTGTGTCAAAGCATAGAGATTGTATTACATGGGCCTTTATCCTTCATAATAAAAAATACAAAACCAGGAGCCTTTCATTGTGCTTAAATAGCACTTATGAGAATAATGCTAATTTTGTGCATGTGGTTTGCCCTCCCACCCAGTTCAGAGGTTTTCACAAAAGATATAATAGCACTTCCTCTTTTGGAGACTTTCCTACCCATTCTTCTGCCTGCACACTCCTGACTTGAACAGGTGGGCTTTATTGCAATCCAGAAGTAATGAAAAAAATTGCTGTAGATCTTACCATAATTTGGTTAGGCATTAGAACAGGTTTTGCCACTTGTAAGAGATGCTACTTCCAGAACCAGAATCAGTGTGAGACTCATCTCTCAATTGCCCTGTAAAATATCATTAAGCCCTCTTCTCTGCAGTCCCACAACGTTATAGTTCTCCAGTCTCTCTACAAGGCATGGAAGTTTCTGTAACTAAGAACTTCTTAAGAAAGGCTTTTCCATGTCATTTATTCTTTAATAGTTTGTTCTAATAACTGAACTCCTTTCTCTGTTCTGATATACACACTGACCACTTTCAAACCATGGTCTTGTCAGAAAAGGGCTTTCCATATTTAATATGGAAGGTAGTTAGAATGGCAAGTAGTTGTCCTCTTCCTAAAAGTGCTCAAAAGAATTCTGACAGATAAAATCATTTCCTCCAACACCAGGCAGACTAACCAACTTTCTTCTGCACTGAGTTGGTTGAGACCCTTAGTGTGGCTCTTTGTAAGTAAACTTTGATCAGAAAATAGCATGTCCCAGAAGCAAAGTATATTTTAGAAGTCTGCTTCTCAACTCTGGTCAAAAGATTTTGTTCAAAACCTTGTTACAGTTCAAATAGGAAAATATGATTATAGGATCACCAGTAATACATTCATCTGCGTATATTTTGTATTATTTAGATTTTCCCATGTTTTCAAACATTTCTTCAAAAGTTCCCTTTATTCCCAAACTAACTCCTAACATACAATTGATAGGGTCTTTGCAGTTTCAAGCCTTCTTGAGGAAAAATTTCCTTCTGAGAGTTAATATCATTTGGTCAGGAACAGAAAGACCTGTTTATTGAATCTGAAGGCTAAGTTCAGTTTTATTCTTAGATTTCTCTTCAACTTATCTCTACTTCAATTTCTATAGCAACTGAAGAACAGCTTGCAACTGGGTCAGAAAAGAGAAATCTTTTAGGTGTAAAGAAATTTATTTTTTAACCTAGAGAGAGAAGTTATCAGGCAACACAATCACAGCTTTTATAGGCTGAAGCTTACATTCTGTTTCCCAAAATTCTATATTTGATTGATAGGTGGCATTTCCTTTTTTACCAAATAGGTCAGACATTCATCTTTTCTTCATGTAGCCCCAGGACAGATTGCTGTTTCTGTGTTCTACTGTTTTAATTATAGTCAAATTAATTAATTAACCAAATTAATAAGATAGCTAAGAGAATTTTCTTTCTATGGAGAAATTATAGTTACTAGAATTATTTCTCTTCAACTGGAATGTCTCTGGATTCCTTAATAATATCCTTTTTTTTTTTTTTTCTTTTTTGTTCTCTTGTTCAAGTGTGATTGGAGAAATTTAGAGTGGTACTTAGGTCTGTATTCTTAGTCTGACTGGATTTAGGGTATATGCTCTAGACTTACTGAGTCATGTAGGTACAGAGATGTTGGAGATGGGAGAAGTGTTATCAGAAGTCCATGTAAATGCTAAAAAGGATAACAGTAAAGAGATGCTTTAAGCACTTAATGTTACATCTTCCGAGATGTTTATAGCACTTCAAATGGGAAATATATGTTATTTTTTTTTTAAGTCCTTCCTTGAAGCTGGAGGAAGATTAAAGCTCTTTTTATATTATAGGAACTACCTTCTGTTGAAGAACTCACTATTACTCTACCTGAGGACATTGAATTAAAGCCTCTTGGGATGGTTTCAAGTATTATTGAACAATTAGGTATGTAAATAATTTTGTTAAAATTATAAGCATGGACTAATAATAATGGAATCAAGGACTTTATGACTAATAAATTTTTTTTGATATATGTAGTAACACTTCATTTTATAGTCATTAAGTTTGAAGGCATAAAATTCAGTTTTTACTTACACAAATAATACATCAATACATTTTCTTTGTACAAACTTAAGAGTCTGCTTTTGCTGACATACTTTCTCCAGAATTTGCTTTGGTGTGTTAGCTTCTATTGCTGCTATAACAAATTACCATAAACTTAGTGGCTTATAACAGCACATATTTATTATCTTACAGTTTTGTAGGCCACAATTCTGATATGGGTCTCAGTGGACTCAGATCAAGGTGTCCAGCAGGGCTGAGTTCTTTTCTGTAGGCTCTAAGGGTGAATCTGTTTTCCTGTTCTTTTTATCTTTTAGAGCCTACCCCACATTTCTTGGCTCATGGCTCTCTTCCTTTATCCCCAAAGCCAATAATGTAACATCTCTCTCTGACCGTAACCTGGAAAAGTTCTATGCTCTTAAAGGACACCTTAGATTGGATCTACCTGTGTAATCCAGGATAATTGCCCCATCTCAAGGTCTTTAAACTTAATCATGCCTGCAAAGTAACATATTCATAAGTTCAGGGGTTACAGTGTGGATATCTTTGGGGTAGCCATTCTGCCTATCATCTTTGATTTTATCTTATAAAAATGTAAATTACTAAGTTCTGTGATTTAATACTGATTTTAATAGCATGAGATATGAAGCTTTTGGATTATATGAAAACTGGAGGTTTTAGATTTCTTTAGCTGCAAAATGTGAGGAAGATGTGAGAGGCCTTGACATTAATATAGTACCATTAACTCTCATATGAAAATAAACCTGAAAATAGAACTCAGAGCTGACAAAAGCATAGGATTTTAGAACTGGGAAAAGAACCTAGATTGCCTACCAGCCCCCTTAGTTTGCAGGACCTAAGGGACACAGACAAATTCAAGTCAGTTGCTCTTATGATCAGTTGTATAGTGAGTCAGTGGCAGAACTGGGACTTTATCTTTTGACCTTTTTCTATCAGTGTCCGTATTAATATATATATAAAAAAATACTTACATAATTTTGTAGTTTTTCAGCTTATTAATCAAAATTGGGATTTAAGTGAAACTTTTTTTCCCCCAAAATCATAAATAAAACTCTATACATTGAGCATTTATTAGAGTTGATGTATACAGAAAAATGTTAGGTCATAATGTGTTATTCTCAGGGAAATAAATATAAACTATATGATATACCTAGAATAATGCTTTTTAAAGATACTCTTTTGGCTAACTAATTGTAATAGAGTAACAAAATTCTCAACCTGGTGGATATAAAGAGTGAATGAGTCAAAATCAGCTATTGCATACTACTGTGTTTTAAAGCCTAAAATATCGAACACTATTTGGACCAAATTACAAAAGTGAACAAATAAATGTTAGTATATTAGGCAGAAATAATCTATGAGTTCAAGTGAAAACCTAAATATGAAAAGAAAGGATTTGGCATTGCACTCCAGTTCTACAAGCTATGCCGGTGTTTTGTTTTAATTTGGAAAAAACAAAGGGTATTTTGATATTTTTTTTATCTACATAGAAGTACAGAGATGTCATGAAGTTAATGATCTCGTCCTAGTCCATAATTTCAGAATATTAGTTTGAGAACTTTTGAAAGTTTTTATTGGTGTATGGTGTAAACTCTAAGTTTATTTGTACTTAATTACCTGAAACTGCCTGCCACCCAGAATCATAATAAGAGAATAGATCTGTAGAAACACAATCAGTTTGCATTGTCATAGAGTGTTAGAACTAGGGATCCAGGTTCTGGTGATAACTTTGTCTGAAATTTGCCGTGTGCTAATGTTAATCTCTTGAGTCCTTGTTTCTCATATTTCTATGAGGTTATTGGATTAGTGATTTTTAATTTTCATGTAATTTGACTCTTTCAGGAGGCCATTAGGGAAAGGTGATGATCATGAATGAATTCTGTTAGTGCTCACAATCGTTATCAATCTTTACTCATCATTTATTCCAAAAACATATTTAACTAAAAAAATGTTGACCCATGATTTGTTGCTTAAATGTATGTTTAGGATGTAGAAGAACTAACTGTTGAAATTCATTGTGATACAAAGGAATTCTTTGATTTCAATAATCTGAGCTAATACATTTTATTTTCCAAGTGGACATAGTATTATCTGTATAATGTAACAGTATTCTTTCTTTTTGCTGTAATTTTTTCTCTAAGGACTTATTGTATGTTTTCTTTTTTCTCTTTGTTGTGGTAGATCAGTTGTTTTACGTTTGTGGCACTTATAAGAATTGGATATTTTGCTAGACAAGTGGGATAATGCTTTTGCTTTTTAAAAAGGGAAGTTCAATGTAATAAAAATTACTGTGAGCTCTATAATTCTTACTTCATGTGTTCAGAGGAAGATGCTTTTGTGAAGCCTTTAATTTAACTTTTTCATATATCAGTAAGTAATCAATACTTTGTAAAAAATAATTCTAGAGTGAAAAAGAAGACTAATTTCTTATAGGAGTTTTATAGGTGTGATTAATTATACTATTTTTGATAAAAATTGCTTGAGAAATATATACAGCTTGAATTTGTTGACCCTTTAATGGGTGATCCAAATTTTCTGTGAGAATTTATATTTTAATTTTTTTTCTTAGAATTGTAGCTTTTTGTATTAAAAATATATACAGTTCATCTGTCTGTGCTATTTGGTAATAAGTAGACTTTGTTTACTGAAGAAGAATAGTTACTGAGATATATTATCTCACCTTAAATTTTCTTTTAAATTTTGTTGGAATTAAAGCATAAATTCTCATTAAAATTTTATATATCTTCTAATTAAATCTTGAAATGATCTTTTTATTTTATTTTTTAGTAATAATTGAATCTATGAATAACCTACCTCCAGTTAATGAAGAGACTGTGATTTTTAAAAGTGATCGACAAGCAGCAGGAAAGGTTTGTAAAAAATAACTCAAATCCCACAGATTACTCTGTTTATTCCTTAAAAGGTTTTGCTGACTTTTCTTTGTTGGTCCTAAGATGAGTTTATTTATTTGTTTTTTTGTCTTTTTCGTGACCTGTAAGGGGATCGCAACCCCTGTTTTGGTGTCGCCCTCACCGCGCTCAGCCAGTGAGCGCACCTGCCATTCCTATATAGGATCCGAACCCACGGCGGGAGCGTCGCTGCGCTCCCAGCGCCGCACTCTTCCGAGTGCGCCACGGGCTGGCCCCTAAGATGAGTTTATTAATTTTAGTAGGCTAGCAGTCTAGAGCTCTCCAGTTTTAGTGCAGTCCTGATTTCTTTCAATACTTCGTGTCTGTCTATAAATTGGTTTAGTACTGCTTATTACCGTTTGCTGCACGGGCCACTAAATACACATGAATAGAATTATTTCCTAATGTTTGTCAGGTATTTGCTAGGTCATAGGTCAACATATTGAATACGACATAGTTCCCTACTCTCCAGGTACTAAGAGTTGAGTGAAGACTTTGCACAGTATAGCAGTTCTTAACTATTTTTGGTTTGTAAGTTTCCTTCAAGTAGAGGCTCTCAAACTTTTTAGACCTTGGTTTCCTCAGGTGGAAGTTCAGAGTGGGATCTTTTTCAAGTGGGAGAATATTTGTGACAGCAGTGAAGTCTCACTGTAAGCACATTCAGGAGAATTATGAATATGTGTACTTTAGTAATGACCATGAGGTTGGGTTTCTTTTAACATCTCTCTAATGGAACAACCCTGCATGTCCATCCTTAATGCAGAAAACCACACACTTTACCCAGCAGGTAGGCAATTCTGAGCAGTCAGCATAGGACATAAAACCTTCTAAAATCAATAATGTAAATACTAACCAAGTGTTCATTTCCTGGCAATAGGGACAGTCTTTTATTCATCTCAGTATTGCTCACTGTATGTGGTATAGTCCTCTGTAAATTATATGTGCTAAGTAAATGTACATTGAAAACAGACAAATAAATAAGAAACCAGCTGCTGTCTTTGGAGAAACAACCTACTGGGCTTTTAGTTTTTCCCAGATGAGCAGCAGTTGACTTTTTGTGTGTGTGTGTCAGGAGATATAATTAAATCATGTTTAATTAGGCAAAAGCAATATTTTAAGCTAGTTACTGTGTTGAAACACATAACCTTACCTTTTCTCTGCCTTTTCCTACTATTCCATTTTAACACAAATTAGAAAGGGATCAAGTTTTTATCAGGGTCTACCTTTCACTACCTACATATGTTTTTTAGGTTGACAGGACAGTTTTACCAAGGGACAGTGAGTTACCTAGGATTGCAAAGCAGTCAGTGGCAGAACTAATTGAAGTCTAGAACTAATATTTTTTGGCAATTCTTAAGAAAGTTTGTGAAGGCAGGGGAAGAAAGATTTGTTAGTGACTGAGGAATGTTGCTGTCCTTTTTTTCCCTTTCAAATACCTATGTTTAGTATTTAAGGTACAAGTGTGAGTCTCAGGAAGCACAAGTGTGGGATTCAGAGGAAGAAGTACTGTAATATAGTACAAACTCTATTTACTGCCACTGCCTTTGTAAATATTGGAGATATATGCTAGGGGCATAACCTCAGAGGGAGTTGAGAGAAAAAAGGAATTGGGAACGTGTAGATGACTCTTCATGCTCATTGGTCTTCTTTAGGAGTAACCAATCTTCTACCCTGGCAAAAACAAAACATTTCTTGTTGTCCTCAAGTAGTAGCAGAGAGAAGAGGAAAGGAGAAGAGACAATGGAAACATTTCTTGATTTTTTTGAATATGAAGTAAAGGTATTAAAACTGATTATTTCCTTGATTTATTTATGATTTTCATGGCACTTGCCTTTTTCTCTTAGTAGCTAACTTAGATAGTTTTAATTTCAAAATACCCAACTTTTGCTAATGATAACCTCTAAACTGATATTTTTAATATCCCTCAATACATTTGAATTTTTAGGCCTTTAAGGTGACTAGTAATGTTCAGCTCTTCTGTCATTTGGCTTTGAAAGGAGTTAGATATAAAATGAAGCATTTATACTTCTAACTTTATGTCATAAGCCTTGAGGCAAAAATTAAATCTTTTATCATTGTAAATTCAAGAAGTGCAGTCTTTTAAAACTATTTGATTATAAGTTTAAGTACTTTGAAATGATTCCCCAAAATAGTGATGGGGGTAGGGAGGATTAGAGAATATCTATTAAACAAACTAGAGACCACATTATGAAATTAAATCTCTTTTTAAATCATTATCATGTCTTATGTAGACACTAAATTAGTTTTACCTTCAATAGCAAACCATTGCACATTCTTTCTTTTCTCTCTGCTCTTCAATAACAACTATAATAATTAGCCACAGTGATATTTTGTATTCCTTATCTTTTTAAATTCTCTGAAAACCTGCAAGGTAGTAGAATTATCTCCATTTTAAATCTGAGAAAACTTGCTAAAAAGATCACAAAGCTGAAGTGGAACAAAATTGAGATTATAACCCAGGTTCATTTCCTTTCCATCTCCCTCTGCCTTCTCCACTGATTTAGGGAAGACAAGCTCAGATTTGTATTTTTATGCTTGCCCTTTAATCCTAATAATGACAAGTTCTTCTTGATAAGTAGTGAAATCTATTTCTCTCTCAAATATCATTGGATAAGGTATTTTTACTGATCCTTTTTAAAAAAAACATTCCTTTATATTTAGTATAAAGTCACACCAGTTAGCTCAGTTGTTTACAGCATGGTGTTGTAACACCAAGGTCAAGGGTTCAGATCCTGTTATTGGCCAGCTGCCAAAAAAAAAAATCGTTATATTTAGTATAAAGTAATACTGGTAATACTGGTTGTTAGTATGTGATGATTTTCTGAAGGTCTCCATATCATATTGATTCAGTGTTGTTTTGCCTTCATTTCCTTACTTCCTTTCCCCCTTTTGGTAGTTTGGCCAAAAGCTGACTCAGCTGGAGAGACAGTAAGGCATTGGCTAATGGCATTCTTTCAAGGCTATTTCTAGTGTGGCATTATGCAGATCTTAGCCTTTCATACACACAGCCCTCCAGCATTGTTCCTGGCCCTGGAGATTCCTTGATGTATTTCTTGTTACTTAGAGAAACTAGGAAATGCCCACTCCCTGAGTGGGGTGCGTGGAGGTGGGAGGGGGAGGAGAGAGCAGTCATTCTCCCTTTTGGAATGCTGTCTGAGCACATCCAGCCTGCTGGCTCAGGCAGGGCCCCACCCCACTCAGAATTTTTGCCATGTTGCATACAGAACATGTAAGCCCAGTCTATGCTGTAGAGTGAGAATTTGGGGGACTGCACACACTCTGTTAACTTCTCTGTATATTTGGTTTTTTCCCAGTAGACCCTATGTTATATCTGTACAATGTTGTTGTAGTGGCATGTGTTTATGTGACAGGAATCTTTTGGGGTCTTTTAGCAGGAAGATAATGCTTTTGAATAAGAGTTGGTAAGCATTTTCAACTAGAACCAAGTGAAAGGACATTTTGAAAACCACTTGTCAAATTACAGGGCAAGTATAAAACATTGGATTAAATTTTTATATGAAAATTCTACAAAATATTGAATGTTATTTCAGGTATAAAGAAAGCTGCTTGCCCACCTTAAAGTAGATATCTCAGATGTTACTATTCCTAAATTCTTTTTCTTATACTCTCCTTGCGGTCTGTTACTTCCTTTGCTTTTATCTCGAGTCAGGTAGTATGGAAGTTACAAAATCCTCAGAGTTGTGTGGAATGACTGAGCAGGGATGCAAGGTCCTTATATGGAATTGTAGGAGAAATGAGCTGGCCTGAGCTGTTGACTCTTCGCAGTTTAGCTCTCAGGTATTACTCAACATAAAATCTACACTTTGAGGCTGGTAGTTATTTAAATATTGTTAAATCCTTCTTTTCTGTAGCTCTGAATTAGCTAAATTGCTTATGTAGACTTAGTCAAGTTTTCCTGTGACCATTTGAGGTAGGATCATAAATACAGTACCTATTGATACTGGTGCATGCCACATACAAGTACAAATTCCATCATGTAGCATCCCATTACCTGCTGTATGTAGTGTTATTTGACTTAAAACTCTATATTGATTGCTTTGTAGCTGTGGCTTATAAACAGTTAGATCTAGGAATAGGCAGCTAAAAAAATATGCTTTACTTTTGTCTAAGAATTTTAAATGTCACTTACTTAGTTCAAACCAGGCTCTGCATAAACCTGAACTTGGTAAGAAATTTCTCCAGTGAAATCATTTTTCACACTTTGGAAATGTTATCCAGGAAACAAGTCCCTGGGAAACAGTCTCGTGTACCAGGTTGCAAACAGTGATTATTTTACCCTGTACTAATGGATACCAAGGGAACTTTATGAAAGATATTTTTTATCTCTGTCCAAAGCTTTTCTTTTTGTTATTCCTTAAGAAAATTTATTATATATATGTGTGTGATACAAAGTTGACTTTCAATAGTTGTGTACAATGGGTGATGTTCAGATCAGGATAGTTAGCTTATTGATCATTACAATACATAATCCTTCTTTGTGTCTCCTTAACTGTCTCCTCTCTCCTCCTCCTTTCCACCTCTAGTAGCCACAGTTCTTTTCTCTACTTCTAAAAGTTCAACATACTATTGTGATTGTTGTTTCTTCTTTTCTCTCTGTCTCTCTTTATTGTTTATTTGTGGATTCAGCTTCCACTTATGAGTGAGAACATGCAGTATTTCTCTTTCTGCACCTGGGTTGTTTCACTAAGCATAATTTTCTCAAGGATCATCCATGTTGCTGCAAATGGTAGCATTTCATTCTTTTTTATGGCTAAGTAGTGTTCCGTTGTGTATGTATACCGCATTTTCCTTATCCAGTCATCCATCAATGGACATTTAAGTTGGTTCCATAGTCTGGCTATTGTAGATAGAGCTGCAATTAACATGAAAGTCCAGGTATCCTTTCAACATGATGATTTCTAATCCTCTGGATATATAAC